TATAAAATGTCAGCAATTGACTCATCTGGATGAAATATGCATGGGAGTTCTTTATTATTTTCAATCTTTTCCGTAAGTTTTAGGTACTCGCCAAATACAAGATGCCAGGGTGAAGAATATGAGCTATTGAAGACTTCTGTTAACTCATTAGGATTCTTACTCGTTCAAATGTGGTCAAGTTATTTGTTGCTGAAATTCTAGTAGATTCTGGAGTAAAGAACTATAATTTTCTGAAGAGTCTCTCAACTGGAGATTCATTTTGATCAAGTATGAGTTGTCCATCCCTCAGTTAATAGAACAGTCATGAGTTCCAAGAATACTTGAGGTGAAATGAAACATATGACATATGCTTAAATAAAATAAAATTCTCTTTTTTCTATAGTAAATGCCCTTGGGGAAAAAACAGTCATTTATTTCAAATGACCACTAGGCTGGGTAGTTTTGTTTGTTTGTTTTTGCTTTTAATCAGAGTCTCTTTGTTTATGATTGTGAGAACAAACTCAGAATTGAACAGATTATAAAGCAATAAGGAATGGTAGAGACTGGGGCAAATAAAAAAAGTATATTCCCCCACCTAAATGCGTTTTAAGTCATTTTTAAAATGAAACACTACACCATACAAATAAAACAGTTTATGGGCCCTATTTATACTGTGGACCATCAGTTGGCATTTTCCAGGTTATACAATCTCAGCTACAAAATAAAACAATGAACAAAAAGACAGAGATACTTAGTATATGGCTGGATATATAAAAAATATCGAGTATGATGACTTTTTATTCTTGAACTTAATGGCTAGTTTCAGGTGAGATCTGCACAAGAACTCAAAAATGTACTGCTGGGAAAATAATTGTGGGTTGGTAAATTGATTGGATTCAGGTCTCCCAACTTGGTTTGGAGGTAGGACCTTGGGTAAATTACCTTACCCTGTTGGATCTTAGATCCCTTTTCCATAATGAAGGATCAGACAAGATGAAGGAAGGCAAATCATGATACTCTTGCTGACGTTCCTCCGCATGCACTGAACTCAGGTGGACAAGACTCTTAGATAGTGACACTACTCCGCACTGAGCCCAGACTGGCCTCAGCCTTTTCAATGCACAGCTCTAGGCAGCCACTACTAATGGCTTGGGGCATGCACATGAGTTGAAACATATTTGCCAGCCCTTAGTAAAATAATCTCTAGGAGCCCATAAAGTTGTAAGGTACTGTTCTGTCATATAATATTCAAAAAGCTCAAATGAATGCACTAATTCCCTTATTCATGGCTACTCTCAAAAAGCCAGACAAGTTTAGTAAGTGGTATTCCTTCCCCACCTGGAACTTCTCTCCTCCTGGTTTTATTGATTTATTAATTTCCAAGACTAATTGTTAACTAA